TATTATTTCCACCACTTCTAGAAATGTATCTCTTGTGTACGTGCGTAGAACTGATGCAACAAAAGCAACACAAACCCCAAACTTTTCAACCTCCTCCTTAAAGGCAAGAATTCCATTACGTCCATAATCATTGTCTGACTGTATGGCTCCAATCCACTGCCATCCAAAATGTTTGACCAGTGCAGCCAAAGCTTTTGCAAGGTAGTAGTCACTGGGGATTGTTCTAAAAAATGTAGGATATTTAGTTCTGTCACTCAGACAAGCACATGTTGAGGAGTAGCTGATCTATAAAAGAGAAAAAAAAACACTGAAACAGTGTGCATGCAACGATACATCATACAATGCCAAAACATCAAATATCACTTAGCATCATAAAACATACAACTTTATCTCTTACTATTGGCATATGAAATGGTCCAAGAATTCCAGCCACAGCTATTGACTGAGATGACCCAGACTCTGCTATGAGGGCAGATATAGCTGGAGGGCAATGAGAAGTCGCACTTGCCTCCTCTGCTCCACTAGCCAGCGTTAGAGCAGCACGTAAAGTATTTGTAGAAGATGCACAAGAGTTAAGGATCCTATAGCCAAGAGATATGTTTGGAAGCAGAGCAGGATCGTTGTTGATTTCTTCAATGGCAAATATCATTGCCTGTGTCCATCGATAAATTCGCAGGTCAAATCTAAGGACATTTTAGTGATTGATACAAGTCATAAAGTAACCCAGCTATTGCTTCCCATGTATGTAAAGTACAATGTCAAGAATGAAAACACAAATAAACATACATGCATGACATATGAAAAAGTTTGTGTTAAATCATACCCTTCACACTGCACTTTAGGCGGCTCCTTATCAAATGTAGAGGTGCTGAGTATCTGTTTGATCAAAATTGGGAAGATTCCTCCGATCATTATGTCACCTTCCTTAAACAAACTTGGCATATCAAACCTGCCAAAAAGTTCACAGCCAGATACTGTGTCTGTGCTGAGAACACACAGAAATAGGAGGATACCTCTTTGCATGTTTGCACTGCATTGCCATATAGGCATGAGAGCACAGTTCTTATAACAACAGTATTACATGTAGTCAATGTGCTATAATTTCCC